TCTCTCTCTCTCTCTCTCTCTCTCTCTCTCTCTCTCTCATCTCTCTCTCACTCAAGAATGTGTTGTCTTCAGTAATAGGGTCTTACCATCAGGTTCTGGAGGGTAACCAAGAACATTGGCAATAACTTGTAATTTGGGGGAGGGGGTCTCTGGGATCCCCAAAACAACAACTCAAAGAGAGGTAGCCCATTCCTGGTATTTTTATTTGGTAAGATGAGGTGTCTAGTTGGGGTGAGCTGTGCCTACTAGTGCAATAATGGCATAAATGTTACGGGAGTAACCAACCACCCTCTCATTGGATTTAAGGCCCACTGCAAGCAATGGAAAACCTGGCACTGATAGTGGGGTCAAGAACCTGTGACTCCTAATAACATTGCTATACCCACAGATTAGTGTATCTCTCACCCCTCATCAAAGACACTTCTTATTGAAGTAGAAGGCAGCTATCATAGAGACTTAAAACTGGTTAACATGTAGAGAATAAGAGACTGTGGAGTGTTCAGTCTCCAAAAAGACATCAGTCCTCACACCCCTTTCCCCAAAGCTTAGGGATCTTCATGGAAGAGGGGGCAGAAAGACCTTAAGACCCAGGGGTGTTGGACATTGGCAAGGAAATAATCCTTTCCAGCCTGCAGAGCAGTTGCACATATAAACTCATAGCAATTGTGACAGCATGCACAAGACCTACTCAAGCTCATGCCAGAAAAAACCCCAGCATAAATGAGGGGAAGGTAAAAAGAAGGTCCCACACCCAGCTGAAAAGGTACTGGAATATGGCAGCTACTGAGACAGAAAGAATCAGTTTTCCTTACGGGTGTGACCCAGAGCAGGACCCACACCCAAGAATATTTTGGCAACATATGCTGGACTTGATATGAAAAAAGAGACATTACTAAGACCGAATATAATTTAAAATAATAATGATACATTAGGAATAACTTTACATCCCTAAATTCAACAACTTGAATGAAATATCCAATTTTTTCAGTCATCAATTATTAAAAAGTTACTAAGGCCAGGTGTGGTGGTGCACTCCTTTAATCCCAGCACTTGGGAGGCAGAGGCAGGCAGATCTCTGTGAGTTCAAGGCCAGCCTGGTCTACATAGTGAGTTCCAGGACAGCTGTGGCTACAGGGAGACCCTGTCTCAAAAAGACCAAAAAAGAAAAAAAAAAAGTTACTAAGATAGATCATTTATATATTCTTTTATCTATTAAAGAAATTGAATTTATAGTTTGAAAGCTTCCTATCTGGATAGTCTTACTAGCAAATTGTACAAAAATTTAAGGAAAAACTATACCTTGAGAAAATAGGCAACATATCTCAAATCATTGATTTAAAGAAATTAATATTTCCTTAATATCAAACCTAGACAAAGAAATTGTAAAGAAAGGGAAAAACAGGACAAGACCCTTCATGAACAGAGATGGAAAAGTCCCCAAAATAGCAGGGCTGGGGAGGTGGCTCAGTGGATAAAGCGTTTGCTGTACAACCTTGAGAATCCAAGTAAAAGTCTGGCAGACATGGAGGCTGCCTGTGATCCAGCCCAGCACCGGGCAAGCTGGCTCACTAGACTAGCTGGAATGAGTTCACTGTGAGACCCTGCCTCAAAAAATGAAGTGAAGAGCAACTGAGGAAGATACTTGACATCAATGTCAAACCTCCACACACATGCTCACACATGTGCATATGCACAGACATACACCCCCACTTGTGGACATGCATACACAGGTGTCATACACACAGAAACATGCAAAATATATTAGCAAACTGAATGTAACAATACATAGAGGAATGGCCATTTTTTTATTCCAGGGTTAACTGCTCTCTGAGATACAAAGTTTGTTTAGCAATTAAAAAAACTTGATCCAAACTCTATTCATGATAAAGCTGGAGGCAAGCTGGGAGCAGAAGGGAATTCCTTAACCTAACAAAGGACATCCTCACAGACCACAGTGGTGTCATGATGGGGGGGAGGGGTTGCATTTTTTTTCACTTAGGTGGGGAAGAATGTTTGCCCTCTGCACTCTGCTCAGCACCCTGATAGTACCCTGCCTTCAGCACTCTACTCAGGACCCCTGCTCAACATTGTACACAAGCCCCTTAGCAGTGAAATTAAGAAAGATAAGGAAGTAAAACATAGAGATTGGAAAGGAGGTAATTAATGAAGGTGTCTCTGTCTAAACAAGACACTGTTATCTGTGGAGAAAAATGCTATGAACTATTTTTAAAGCTACTAGAAGTAATGAATGAGTTTCATTAAGTTTACAAGATGCAATGTCAATGTATAAAAATCAGCTATATGACACATTTTTTATTTTTCATTGAATTTTTGTGAATTTCAAACATGATATTTTGATCATATTTTGGCTCCCCTCCCTGATCTGCATGCCCATTAATGTTCTGCCCAATTTCATGTACCTATTATGTATGACACGATTTTAAAGTGCCAAGTAGAGCAGCACAAAATTATACTTATGCATAAATAAAATAAAACACATGCAAAGTAAAGATGCCAGAAACCTTGAAAACAGAGGTAAATAATTAAAGGAGTCTTAAAAATCAAGAAATAAGTTCATAGAATAGAAAGCTTAATATCATGAAGATGTGAGTTATGTCAACTTGGGGTGCAAATTTAGTAAAATTACAAATATAATTCCAGGAGTTATTGTAACAGGAATGAGTTTATTCTAAAATGTGTATGATAAGGTAATGAAATGAAAACAGCTCAAATCATTTTTAAAAATTTGTTTTTATTGAATTTTTGTGTATTTCATAAGAATATCTCAATCAGTCTTTCCCAACTGGCACCCTCCCAAACCTCCCCTACTGGAATTAATACATTCTGTCATCTGTGTTAAGGCCTATTATGTCAAGTTAGTGCCCCAGATGTCCCTCAGTGCAAGTTCATCTACTGAGATCTAGTCAGCTTATCTAGAGTCCCTTGCTTTAGGAAGATCAGCTCTTCCTCACCTAGCTGTAATCAGTTGCTAATATTTCTTCAGCTTAAATTGGTGTCAACTGACCATTTCCCCAGTTCTATGCTGGGTTTTTGTCTGCTTGAGATTGCATGAGTCCTGTACATGCTGACATCATTGCTGTACATTCATATGTGCAAGGTCCCAGGAACTTGTAGGACTCTATTTCCATATGGTCATACACATCGTTCCTGTGTCTTAATATCTTCCTGTCCCCTCTCCCTCAATGGTCCCTGAGCCCTGTGCAAATGAAGTTTAATATAGGAGTCCTGTTCAAGGAACATAGAACAGGGGTAAAGAGGACACTAATGAATCTCTCAATTCTCATAAATGAAGCTCTCTCATGCAACACAGAGGGCCAGGAACACAAAAGGTCACAAATGATCAAAGCATAGAGTCTGCCCAAATAATTTTTATAATCTCTTTTTTTATTGTTTGGGAATTTCATACATGCATGTAATGCATTTTGATCATATCTACTCCCTATTCTCTCCCCTCTCATTCCTTCCCTCCCCACCACTTCTCCCTCCCAATCTCACATGCTCTTTTATAAAAACCCAGAGTCCACTTAATGCTGCCAGTACGTGAATGGTTTCAGAACTATCCACTGGAGCATGGGTGGCCTCTCAGGGGTCGCATCCCTGAAGAAAACTGACTCTCCCTATCCCAGCATTGCCAATAGTGCCACAGACAGGAGTAGAACTTCATGAGCCCCTCCCCCACCCATGCTGGGATTTTGGATGGCTTGATCTTGTGCAGGTCTTGTGCATGCAGTCACAGCCACTGTGATTTCATGTGTGCAACCATGTTGTTGTAGCCAACTGATATTGTTACACTGTTTTGTTGCGGTATGCACTCCCTCTGGCTCTTACACTCTTTACACACACCCTTCCTTGATGGTCCCTGAGCCTTGGGAAAGTGTATAGTAAAGATACCCCATTTAGAACCCATCATTCCACAGTCTCTTATTCAATCCATATTATCAGTTGTAGGTCTCTATGTTAATCACTGTCTACTACATAAAGAAGCTTCTCTGATGAGGGGTGAGGGATGCACTAATCTATGGGTATAAAGATAAGAATTTAGGGGGAAGTTTATTACTATGTCCATTATCAAAATAATAGTTCTCAGCTGGGTAAGTTTGTTGATTACTTTTCTCCCCTGTAGCATACATAGCCGTTTCCTGCATTGTGAAAGCTAGACAGAGGGATGCAGACTCCAGGACATTACAAACTCGATTTCTCCATGTCCCAGGTCTCAGGCTGAGGTGTTTTCAGCAACAGGATCACCATCCAGTTTATTGGAGAATTCACACTTCCAGATTTTAGCACATATTATGTTAATTAATTAGAGCACTGGTGCTTTTGAAAGGATGGACAAGTGCATCAACAGGTCTGGAATATAGGCATATGAGGCCAATTGACATTAAACAAACTGAAAAAGAAATCCAGAGAGAAATAATCATTCTAGAAATCTATAATGGAAAAAATTTGTATGTAGTTAAGAGAAGATATTTCAACTCATCTTATCCAGTATATAAAAATTAACTCAAGATAAATCATAGGTGTTAGTATAAACCTAAAACTTCTGAAAGAAAATAGATTAGGAAAAGCATGTCCAGGCTTTGGGGATAAAAGGTTAAAAGAAGAAAAATAAAGTTACTCTGAGTAACTCAGAAAAGGAGGCAGACTTAGCAGAGCTACATGGTGACAGATCTGGAAGCAACTGTCTGTTGATTTCTCAAACACACATCAAAAGCATGATTTCTAGAAAAAACTAGACAGTCAAAATATAAATCATTTCTACATTTTAAATATATAGCTGAGAATTTTCTAAAGTCACAATTTGAGCCCCAAAAGTTATGCTTAATACTGAATAATACTAAATATTTTTGCATCAAAACAAACCTTATTGCAAACATTCGTCAAACAGGAGCATAAAACTAGCGAACCTTCTGGAAAAGCAAAATGAACACACAGCCTAATGACCTGAGGAAGGATCATTGCAGTGGGCCCATTCCAGTTCAGTCCTTGAGGCTGTCTGTCAGGGTGAGTTTGTCAAAGAGGTACTCAGCCATGGGGTCTTCTGGGTCCCCAGGTGGCAGAAAGATGGTCAAGTAGTTGTCCATCTCGTTGAGAACTTGGACCTGTTGGTCCAGACAGCATGTCTTCAGGAAGTCACAGAGATGGGCGTTGCCTTTTTCAGTGGCCAGCCAGTTCAGGCTCAGGAAGCACTGGTTGATGGTCCTCTCCAGGTGGAAGGCCCAGTCCATGGCCTGGAAGCCATTCCTCCAACCATCATGGTCTGGTCTTGGGATGTCATGGAGGATGCTGCGGCCTCGGCGCTGATTCTGCAGGAACAGGAACATCTCGGCAGTGGCCTTGTGCTTGTGTGACTTGCTCAGGAAGGAACGCTTGAAGTTCTCCAGGGCCACGTTGTCGCAGTTGCAGTAGAAGGCCATGGACAGGTAGGTGTAGGAGGCATAGAGCTGCAGCTGGATGTGCGTATTGATGGCATCCTCGGTAGTTCTGTCTCAGCTGAGAGAGTGCTTTGGCCATGGCAAGCACCTGTACACAAGGCAGGCCCAGGCAGCACCTGCGAGTGTGCAGAGGAGCAGTGGAGGATGCGAGGGCTGAGCCGGGAGGCGAGTGTCGCTCGGAAGACAGAAGAACCCCAGTGGAACGCAGGCTGGGCCTGGCTAGATCTGGGGCAAGACCAGGTACCTCAAGACGTGGTGAGCACTGGCGCTGGACCAGGAAGCTTTCATGTGTGCAGAATATATGAACAACTAATTCAAACTTAATACTGCACAATCCATGAGACGTGCAGAAACATTTGGTTACTTCAAGAAAAAAATGGGTGTGAAATAAGTGTATGAAGTCATTCTCAATAGCATTAAGGATATGCAAATTTCAAAAAAAGACTTGTAGGCTTTTTAGAATGGCAAAAAGTGATCTGCTAAAGGGTTGAAGGTAATAGATGCTGAAGGAACAGCAGCACCGGCAAGTAACACTGCTCTTGTTACAAAGTGGTGGTAACTGCAGAAAACAGTTGGCAGTTTGTTACAAGCACACTGTAGGGCCCAGAACTGTCATTCTGAAACATTTCTCCAACAGAAAGGAAAATTTGCCTCTACTCAGAAACCTTTGTACAAAAGGTTAGAAACTGGAGAGATGGCTCAGCAGTTAAGAGCACTGACTGCTCTTTCAGAGGACCCAGGTTCAGTTCTTAGCACCCACATGGTAGCTAACTGTCAGTACCTCCAGTTCCAGGGGATCTGACACCCTTTTCTGGCCTCTGTGAGTGCTGCATGTGTGTGCTATGGTGTGCTTACACGCAGGCAAAATGCTTTAACACACAAAATAAAATTAAATCGATTTTTAAAAAAAGTTTATGGAGACAGCATTCACTTTGTGAAGTGTTAGAAACATTGGAAATGTCTTTTGCTAGTGCACAAGATGGTGTGCATCTATACTACCTGTACTTCTCAAGGCCTGGGTGATGGTTCAGTCAGTAAAGTCTGACTAATGAGACCCTGTCTCAAAAAACAAAGTGAACAGCAACTGAGGAAGGACAACTGAAGTTGTCCTCAAGCTCCACATTGATGTACACATGCAAACACACACACACACACACACACATACACACACACACACACACACACACACCACACAGAGCAAAGAAGAACAGTTCTACTCAGCATTAAGAAGGGCAATACATGGACACACATACCTTCAAAGGTAAATGTTGAGTTCAATAATCTACATTCTCTAGGATTCTATTTACATGACATTCTACAAAGGGCAAAACCACAGGGTGAGAAACAGCAGTGGTGGGCAACAGCTGGTCCTAGGGAAGAAGAAAGTCAGTTTAGTACTTGCATCTACAACATTCTTGTTCTTGGAAAAGTCAAATTGTATTCTAGCAAGCCTAGAGAACCACCTTTCCTGTCTTGTGCAAGTAAGAACCAAGTTCATCTTGAAGTTACCCACGCCACTGTAGCATACAGATGGCACTTCCCTGAGTCAGGGAGGAAGCCTGGAGTGTGTTGGTTTTCTGCTAAACGCCCCTGAACGTGCTGCCTGGGAAGTGGGAGTTGAAGGAGTGGAGGCAGAGGAGGTGAGTGAAGAAATCAGAGCTTGTCTAGGCTGCTTTGCTCCATCTGGCAGACAAATTTTCTTTGAAAACTAAAAAGAAATGGTATACTTTATTTGTCATTTCTAACTATTTTTATTAGGCTGGCCCCAGGCATCTTTATAAAAATCAACTTTAAAGTAGAAAATGGAGCTGCTAGGATTTGTGCTTCATGGAGCGGTTGAAGCACTAATGGATCACATTAGAGATGGGAAATCAATCCTGTTTCAGTGCTCTATCATCTATTTATCCTCTTTATGACTCATCGCTGTCAGAGCTCGTAGACATTCAAGTTCGTTGGTTCTTTTTAATTTTTGCTTTTTCGGTTGTTTTTTGTTTTGTTTTCCTTTTTGTTTAAAAATACCCGTAAGTCAGCTGTTTCAAGCTCTTGCTGCCTTCACTCCCCCCCATGATGGACTGTGCTTGGAACTGTGTCAGAATGAGACTCCTTTCCCTTAAGTTGCTTTCGTCAAGCTATTTAATCAGAGCAACAGAAAATGACTAAAACAGCTCATGTAGAAAGTCTACAGAGATAGTGTATCAGTCGGCCTCTCAACACTGTAACAAAGACCTGGGGTGATTAGCCTAACAAGAGGGAACACCTGTTGTGGCTCAGCTGTCAAGAGCGCCGGGAAGACCCAAGTTCACTTCCTAGCTTTCATGTCAGGCAGTTTACAATTGCCTGTAATCCCAGCTCTAGGGCAGCTGATACCTCCTGCCTCCCTGGGCACTGCACTCCTATTCACATATTCCCCCACACAGATGCATGCACGTACAAATAATTTTTTATTTTATTTATTATTTTAATTTTTTATGTGTATGAGTGTACTGCCTGCATGTATGCAAATACACCCATGTTGTGCAATGCCCCTGGACACCAGAAGCAGTCGTTGGATTCCCCTGGAACTGGAGTTAAGGATGATTGTTAGCTGCCATATGGGTGCTGGGAGCTAAACCCGGGTCCTCTATAAGAGCAGCCAATGTTCTTAACTGCTGTGCCGTCTCTCCAGCCTCACACATAATTTTAAGGAAAGGAAAAAAAAAAAAGAATAACAAAGCATGAGAGAGTGGGGTAAAGACTATAAGGTCTTTTGAATAATGGATAATCAATAACTACTCCTTGGTATCACTATAAATAATGCATACTGTATTATCCTATAGGTCTTTAAATTACAGAGGTGTAGCATATATAAAACTTACAGATAAAAGAGGCAACAAAACAGATCTTCTTAACTGATGGGTGAAAGATGCCAAGCCAGGGAAGACTTTTCTGGGAAGGTGGCTGAGTAAAGTTTTAGGGGGTATTAGAGGGAAGAGAGAAATGCTTGCAACTCACAAGTCTCAGGAAGCTCAGAAACTTGCAGGGCTCACAAGGCCCCTTCCCAAGGTTTTATAAGCAGAAGCAACTGGAGAGAGGAGATTCTCCTTTTAGCCGAGCTGCCTACGAGATGTGCAGGGAGCTCCAAGCTTTCCCAAGTCATCACTCAAGGTGGGTGGACTTTCCGGCAGAGATGCAGTTGCCTGTGAGGCAGCCATGCTCCTGTGAGCAACCCCAATAAACTCTCTGATTCACTAAGCTACACTTTAGAGGAACTGTTTTTTGGTCTGTCCTTGGTGTTCTATGTGGTGTTTACATCTCCCCAAGAAAAGTCACACAGCAGCAAAATTTTACATTTGCACAGAATTATAAATGTGAGAAGGACATAGATGTGGGGACACGAGAACGTTACAGTTCCTTAGATTTCTCATCAAAGTAAGATTATACAGGAGATGCAAAAGAGCGAAAAAAAAAAAAAAATCAATGTGGTCTGTTACACGTTAGAGAACTCTAAATCAAGATCTTTAACGTGCAGGCTGTTGTAGTTTATAGACTGCGTCCTAAAGCCTAGATCTGTTGATTGCTAGTCAACATTGACTGAAATTTCCTGAACTTGCATTTTAGTTCTAAGTTGGGGAATACGTAGTGCTTTCACTTTGGGTGAGTTAACTAAATTTTATGCCTCAGTTTTCCCTCGTGTAATATTAAGGGGCAAGGTTAAATTATTTCTGAATTCCTTTTGTTATTTCATGCTCTAACCTGTCTTCAGTCCAATACTCCCTGTCGCTGTGGATGTGAAAATGTCCCCCGTCTTGAAGCTCTGAAGTCTTGCTGCAGTGGGCTAGCCAGCTCATTGATGGAGTGTCACCATCTGAAATTATTCTTCATTTTTATTGTGTAGATGTATGATGTTTGTGTGTGGGTGTGTGGGTGGAGATTATGAGAGGACAACTTTATGGAGTTCATTCTCTCCTTGCACCTTTACATGAGTTCCAGGGATTGAACTCAAGTCTTTGGGCTTGTGCAGCAACTTTTTACCCATAGAGCCATCTCACTGGCCCCTCAGCTTCATTTCTTTTTAAAATCAAACTTTGTTTTGGGGTTACTGACATTTGTATGCATTTGGAATAAAGTAATAAGAAAAAGGCATCTTATGCACTGTTTCTGCAAATGATAGCATCTTGCAAAGATTTATCACTTTGCAATAGCCCAAGCCAGCTGTGGTCACTTAGAGAGCCAAGTACAGATGTTTCCATCTCGAGAGGCTGTGTTTTGCCCTTTTAGAGCCACTTGCTTCAGTCCAGCCTTGATTCTGGCAACCATTAATCAGTACTCCACTTCTGAGTTTCATCATTTCAGAAATGTTACATACACCGAATTATTCATTATGTCACCATTTGGAAATGGCTTTTCCCCTTCATTGTATTTCCTCGAGATTCAGCCAAACTGTCATCAATACTTCTTTCTTTTTTTTGACTTTTTGAGACAGGGTCTCCCTGTAGCCCCAGCTGTCCTGGAACTCACTATGTAGACCAGGCTGGCCTTGAACTCACAGAGATCCGCTTGAGTCTGCTTCCCGAGTGCTGGGATGAAAGGCATGCACCACCACGCCCGGCCTTAATACTTCATTCTTTTATGATGTTGAACAGTGTACTATGGTCTGTATCTACAGCTGTTTTAGCATTCACTCACCAAACAGGCAGCTTCAAGCTTATGAGAACCTCCAATAAAAAGCTATAGCAATTATTTGCAAACCAGTATTTTGAGTAGACATAAATCTCTCTTTCTCAGTGTTGAGTGACATAGCATTTAATTGGTGAGTTATATGACAATTGAATATTTAGTTTTATAAGAAAACAACTCTCAGTTTTCTAGAATGGTCCATGGCTTTGTGTGCCCACCCACAGTGTGAGTTATTGTTTCTTGAATCTTTGCCAATGCTTGATATGTTCACTATTGTTTTTAATTATTTTTTTTCTTTCTTTTTTAATATTTTATTTATTATTTTTATATGTATGCATGTATTGCCTGTGTGTAGGTAAATGTGCCTGTGTTGTGTAATGCCCTCAAAGGACAGAAGAGGCTGTCGGATCCCCTGGAACCGGA